ATGCCCTCCTGAGCCTCAAAGACCTACAGTTCACTCATTCTGCAAGGTTTTAACAGCCTCGGACACGAGCACTCATGGAGGGTTTTCTGTTCTTCGAAAACATGCCACCGAATGCCTTCCTCCACTGGTATTGTGTTCTAGATCAAGCTATTTGTTTTGGCCTTTTCATCTTCTGTCAACTGTCACAGATTTTCATTTTATTGATTTCTGGAAGTGGTTGTCTTTCAGGACATGAACCAGGCAACGCCAACCCAGGAATTGGATGCAAAGGATCTTCATGGTTATGAGTGGCGCTTTAAGCATATTTTCAGAGGTAACTGAAACACCTTATTTACTGTCGTCTTCATTCAAAATTTTGATATTAAAGTGCCTCTTTGGTTTTGATAGATATGAGATACTTTAAGCCTTTATGATTTGACCTCTCATTCTATGTAAGAGGTACGTCCACCATGATTTAGCAAATCACACACCAGTTATTTGTTTATGTATGAACAGGCCAACCAAGGAGGCATTTGCTCACAACAGGGTGGAGTACATTTGTTACTTCAAAGAGATTAGTTGCTGGTGATTCCTTTGTGTTCCTAAGGTAGATGGTTTTTTTCATTTTTCTCCACTTTGATATTTTTGTGTGCCTGCATGTGTTCTTCTCTTTGCTGGTTATATTCATTTTTATTGTAGCTGATGAGCTATTCATTTAATACTTGGTCCCCTAGAGGGGAGAATGGGGAGTTCCGTGTTGGAGTTAGGCGGGTAGCTCATCAACAGAGCAGCATGCCACCATCAGTGATTTCAAGTCGGAATATGCACTTAGGAGTTCTTGCAACCGCATCCCATGCTCTTTCAACTGAAACCCTCTTTGTTGTCTATTATAAGCCAAGGTATGATGATATTTATGGATTTGCCAAAAATGAGATTATAATTATTTTCTTTTCTCATTTGTTTCATGTAAAATATCAGGACAAGTCAGTTCATCATCAGGTTGAACAAATATTTAGATGCTCTTAATAATAAGTTTGCGGTTGGCATGAGATTTAAGATGAGGTTTGAAGGGGAAGATTCTCCTGAGAGAAGGTAGTGGAACTTAACCACATGATTCTTCTGGGTTGGTATTTTTTTAAGAAAAAAAGGAAAATCTTTTCTTTAAGTGCTTACTCAGCATACCTTGATTGATAAGGTTTTCTGGAACAATTGTTGGGGTTGAAGACTTTTCTCCTCACTGGAAAGATTCAAAATGGCGTTCACTGAAGGTAATTGGTTCTTACACTATATATCCAACTTCAGTTTAAATTGTTAAGGCTGGTCATGTACATCAAAGACTTCTTAATGCTTCTCAACAGGTGCAATGGGATGAGCCTGCCTCTATTCAGAGGCCTGACAGGGTTTCACCATGGGAGATAGAACCCTTTGTTGCTCCAATTCCACCAACTCTTACTCAACCGAATGCAGCTAAAAACAAAAGGCCTCGACCACCCACTGAAAATCCTGCTCTAAGTAAGACATACTTTTCCTTGTATTATTTATGTTTTGTACTTATGTTTGTTATATCTGATTTGTTCCTGGGAATATTGTAGATATGTCGACAACAGCATCAGCTCCTTGGAATTCTGGAGTGATGCATTCCCATGATCCAAGTCAACGTAACATTTCTTCCGAAGCTAAAAGAAATGAGAACCATGTCATGTGGCATCACATGCAGACAGAGATGAACAGTAGTTGCATTTCTGTCTCAAAGACTCGAAATGAAGCAAGCTGGCTGACTTCTGGCATGAGTGTTTCTCAGCATCTGTTTCCTGATGCAATACAGGGTAGCAAAAGTGTGTCTGGTTGGCCTCTTCTTTCAGGCTTTTCAAATCCACAACTGAAGGATGATTCAACCTTTGATCCAATTGAAAAGTTAAAGAAATCTGAGACAGCTGCTCGTTGCCGATTGTTTGGTATTGAACTGATAAACCACTTTGTGAACTCAACTCCAGTGGAGAAGACACCTACACAACTTTCTAATGTGACTGCTGGTCCAACTGAAGAACATGGTCTAAGTACTCTGTCACCCACTGATTCTGACCAGAAGTCTGATGTGTCAAAAGATTGTAAAGACAAGCAGCAGGAACAGTTACAGGTATCATCAAAAGAGATCCAGAACAGGCAAAGTTCTAGTTCTACAAGAAGTCGTACTAAGGTATTGAAAGTAACATATTTTCATATGATTGAAAAACCATCGACTTTGAACAATTTCCAATAAATATTTTTCCAATAAACTCTCTTTGGGGTTGTATATGTGAACAGGTTCAGATGCAGGGGGTTGCTGTTGGTCGTGCTGTGGACTTGGCCACATTGGCAGGGTATGATCAGCTTATAGATGAACTAGAGGAGATGTTTGATATTAAGGGAGGGCTTCGCCCTAGGAATAAGTGGGAGATAGTCTACACTGATGATGAAGGGGATATGATGCTCGTAGGCGATGACCCATGGCTGTAAGTTACTTGATGCACGTTATTTTTCCTTTTCATAATATACCATAAAAAAAAGAATTTATCTTATTGTCTTCTAATTTACATCCTTTCAGGGAATTTTGTAATATGGTAAGAAGAATATTTATCTGTTCAAGCCAGGATGTGAAAAAGATGACCACAGGAAGCAAACTTCCCTTGTCTATTATTGAAAGTGAAGGGACTGTAACTAGCTCAGACTAAGCCTGAAAACTAAAATAAGAAACTTTTTATATGTACCTGCTGTTTTTTTTTTGTTGCCAGTGGGAGCTTTTGTAAGACTTCTGAGCTAGGGGTTGTTAGAGTCTAGGGACACTAATCACTAGCTCGATTTTTGGAAGACTAAAATACATCACCTGGATTTGAAGAACCAAGACTTGTTCGAGAATTAGTATGGCTTAGAGGCTAGGACTAGGTTTATGTGAATACTTATCATCGTTGTGGTGGGTGGTGGGTTCAGGGGGTGTTTCTAACTTTTTTAGTTTCCTCTGCTTGTAAATATGAAACGTGTCTTGTTTTGGTTTTCATTAGTCGTTAGTCTGCCTGGGTCGGGTTTCGTTAGTGATTAGCCCCGTTTGTCCGACTAGAAGGATATCAGCCTGGATTAGGATATGAAGCACTGATAGAAGCTATTGTCGAGTAAGCGGTGAGCTCATTGGGGAATTGATGTTGGTTGGGTAGCAGGCTAGCAGCACAGCCAATCTAGTCCTTTTGTAAAATTCCATTGCTTTGCCAAACTAAAGACCTTTTCACTCTCAAGCAATTAGTTCATATAATGTTAATTCATTTTGTAGGGATGTTTAATCTCTACATTACCCATTGGCCCCATTAATTGTTTATGGAGAGCTTTCTTTAGTCTTTAGCCAATCTTGTCAATTTAAGATCGTCAAAGTCTTGATCCTTATTCTAGCTTTGACCTGTCAAAAAGGGGTGGGTTATCCGTCGAACTTAGTACTCTTGGCATCAGGCAGGCCTCATTTGGGTCATACTTTATAATAAAAAAGTGATCATTTTAATTTAATTATAAAATAAATGGAATTATTAATGATTTTTTATTGTTGGTAAATATGAACTATTGGGCTAGGCTACTTTGGGGCTGGCTCGATGTTTGGTCCAGGAGCTGGTTTAAGGTAGCCATTGACACAAACATACAATAATAAACCTAAAAGGACCGCCTTATAAGAAACACGAAGGTGCAGCAGGCAAAACGAAAGATGGACTCATTAAAAATTAGAGACACTTGAGCCGAGCGGCGAGTACAGCTAACCCACGGCCACATGTATATGGAAAATATGAATGGAGGAGCGATGGCGACGCCACATATACCCAAATTTGATTATTGTCCCCGAGTCAAAGATGCCCCTTTCGGGTAATAAAATAAGGCAGATTTATTTGAATAAATTTCAGCATTCCAATGCTGTAGGCAAATGTTATCCCAAAATACGCAAAATAATTGGACCGTTTACCCTTTTACTCTGGAGCAAGAAATAGGCTGGCAAGTGTGAGCCACAAAAGTACACACGAATCTTAATGGAGATGGGGTCCATTCACCCAAATTGTTATTTGGACTAATCAATGATGGATAGACGTCTCAGGCTCGGCTTAGCTCAGCATTGCACACCTGCTTACGCCACCATGTTTCACCAATTATTGTTGCTCTGCTTAGAGATGGGATATATATACACTGTTTTTTATTATTTGCCTAGTATTCTTTCTTTCCTTCCACTTTCCTTTGAATCTTCTAATCATTTTCTTCTGCTGTCCTAATCATCTCGAAATAATTGAGATTAATAAAGATAACTTTGTAATTGTCGTATTTAAGAAATATTAATTCCTAGGTTAATCTGCCTACAACTCTAGGGAATCCTATTGGTATTTTAAAGACCACAACCCTTCAAACACTACTAATGTAATCATCTTTTCTTTTAATTCGTTACACGTTTCAATACCAATCTAATTTCTTCTTTAATCATTCCAATCAAGATAATTAAATGGAACATTCTCAAATTGCGACTATATTTTAAAATGATTTTTAGATCTTTAAATATTTTATATTAATCTTTATATTAAATATTTTAAAATATTTTATATCAATTACAAAAGTATCTATATCATTCTATTTTGATTATTCTATTAACATGATGTTATCTCTATTCATTTTCAAAATCTTGAAAATTAAACCTATTACCGTTAAAAAATTAATATTTAAATATTTTAGGAATTAAACTCGCAACTTTTTAAAACAAATTTAATTACTTTTAAAGGTCATGATTTTTTAGAAGTTTATTAATTTAATTCTCAAGATATTCAAAAATAAATTATTTTTTACTAATAGAATTAACATCACATTGACAAAAGAGTCAAGATAGAATTATAATGATAGTTGAATTAACTTAAATTAAAATCATAGTTTATAATTTGAGGAGAGTACAATTATCACCTTCAATCTGAATCTCATTTAGCATTTCCAACGTTTACAGGTCCAATATAAATATATTGGTTGACTACTTCTACTCCCACGTATCTCCTCTCCTAGTGGCCTGTATACACTATATACCAAATTCCTTATTAGTTAACCCAAGAAATATGGAAGGCAGAGGTTTAAGAGGAGGCTTCACCGCCGATGCTTCTCCGCTTCACACGTCTCAACCACTCCGGCGGACGGCATTCAACCGCCTATTCGCGGTTGTTTACTTCTCAGCCGTCATACCTCTACTCTACCGCCATGTCCAAAACCTATCTCTCTACCCCACAACAACCAGCTTCCTCTCTTTCTCCATCACCCTTTCTTTGTTCATCTCCGACCTTGTTCTCGCCTTCATGTGGGCCACCGCTCAAGCTTTCCGGATGTCACCGATCCGTCGTAGAGAGTTCCCTGAAAACCTGAGAAGAATAATCAAAGACGGAGATCATGTAGGATTAGACGTGTTCATATGCACGGCGGATCCGCACAAGGAGCCGCCGATGAATGTGGTGAACACGGCGTTGTCGCTGATGGCTTACGATTATCCGGCGGATAAGATATCGGTGTACGTTTCGGACGACGGAGGGTCGGCTTTGACTCTCTTTGCTTTCATGGAGGCCGCTGAGTTTGCGAGTCATTGGCTACCATTTTGCAGGGACAACAATATAATGGAAAGGAGCCCTCAAGCATATTTTGAAGCTAATTATCATTCTTCTACCCCTCAGTTGGACAAGATTAAGGTAATTAACACACCCCTTTAATTATCTTTTCCAAATCTATTTTTTACACCAAATTATATTAGTAATTAATTCAATCTAGAGGGGTATTTTTAGCATCTATAAGACAAAAAAATCCAACAATTTTAAAACATGACAAGTACAATGAACTACGTTAAAAAGGACATGAGGGTTGAAATTTATTTGATGTTTTTTTTTCATTTACTAGGTTTTTTTATAAAAAAAAATTAGTCTGGCTCCCCAGGGTCAGGTATACATAAGACTGTACAAATTGTCCGCCAAGTGACAGTGGTAGGATTTGAACTTGACCTTACAAGCTTAAATTCCTGAATCCCAACCACTTGTGCTAACACTCATTTTGCTTTCATTTACTACTTCGATAACATACTAATGGTCTTACATTTAATCATTTTTATACATTAATTTTTCGATTATTAATGTTATGTTAATGTTATATATTAGTTTATATGATACTTTTAAAGATTTTAATTTCATCATAATCCAAAATTTTTAACTCCATCTTCTAGGGTTTAGTATTAATACTTTATGCTTAAATTAATCATATTATATATATTAATATAACGACTCATTTCATCTATGCAATAAATTAAGTTTTAATTATACCATGTATCCCTGAATAATATTTAAATTCTAAATTAATGTAAAAAGTTCAAAATATTTAAATTAAGCCTTTGAACTATTTATTGTTTCAATTAGATTCTTTTGGCAGCTTAACCATATGTTTCAACAGTAAATATTAGTTCAAATTCGATGTGATATATTTAAATAAATAGACCAAATTAAAGTATGAACACACATATTATATAAATAATTTAAATTTAACGTGTTAAAATATAAATTATATCACTAAAAGTCTTTTAACACCCCCAACGTAAATTATTCATACCATAAATATCCATACAAACAAACAAGTCGTTTCAAGTATAAATTAAATTATTGGTGCGTTGCTTGTTTTTTTATTTATTTATTCAAAATTTGTCGGTTTTTTTAAGTATTTATAAAACATTATTTTCATGCACGTGCATGTACCATATAAGATAATATAAAAGTAGCTGATAATATTCGCATACATAGCTTGGTATCAAAGCTTTTAACTTCACTCATTAATCGATGTTTTAATTAATTCCTTGAAGAACGTAATAATTATATAGTTATTAGGGTTTGCAGCTTAGTATAGGCCAAGAACTCTTACATAGATGTTGATGAATTAATATATATAAGTACATATCAAATAACTTCAGTGATAGAAGAATTGTTATTATTTATTGAAGTTTCGGGTTTGAACATCAAAAATATCAGAGGTATAAGTGTTTGATGTCAAATAATTAAGAGTTATCTTTAAACATATATTGTTTTGTATATATATATATATATGGGGGAGAGAGAAATTATTTATAATAGTGTAAAGCTAGAGTTGTTATGTTGACTTTCATATACATTAATATTATTTATAATATATTTATATTATAAATAATATTTTAATTTTAAAAAATAAATTATAAATAATTTCAGTATAGTTTGATATCTATATTATTTTTAGAATATAATAAAAACCCAAGTTAATTTAGTAGGTAAGATCTAATTTTTTATTTTTAAGAAACCTGAGTTTAAATCCTTCCAAATGTAATATTTTAATATTGTTTTAATAAAATGGTTTCGTTTTTAGATTTTTGGACATCAAAACGAGAAGGGATGGACCGAGGAGGAGTGTTGTTCCACCCCTTAAAAATTTTAAATTCTCTTATATTTTAAATTTTTATTTGTATTTTTTATTTGCATTCATAAAATTTTTAATATAACTTTTTAATTTTGGGGTTTAATTTCACACCCGACATAAATTTATGCATCCATATTTAAAAACGATGTTATTTTGGTGCAACAGTCACCTCAATAACCGTTAATCAGAGGGTCCTTATTGAATTAGTGATCTAATAATATAACTAAAACAAAAATCAAAATTTAATACTATAATTATAGTAATTGAAAGTTTATTAATATAAATAATGCACCGTATAAAATTTAGATACCGGTATCTGATGTAGTTGTGTGTAAAAGAAAAGACTCGATAACTGGATTTCATAGAGTTATTAGACACTGAATCTTGAATTGCCGCAGATGATGTACGAGGACATGAAAGTGAAGGTGGAACAAGTAGTGGAAAAAGGTGAAATTATCGATGATTACATCACTGATGATCAACGACGTCGAGCTTTTAATCAATGGGCCAAAGGCTTTACTCGAACGGATCACCCCACCGTCATTCAGGTCTGCTTATAAATCAAACCATCTTCTTTTTCAAAACAAATCACTATATTTACTGATAGATTACGAACTGTGAGCAGATCATCTTAGATAAGAGCAAAGACAAAGACATCTCAGGCCATTCTTTGCCAAATCTAATCTACGTTTCCAGGCAGAAGAGCAAGGCTTCACCCCACCACTTCAAAGCCGGAGCTCTTAATGTTTTGGTATGAAAAATTAATCAATTTTTAGAAACCCTTTATCAGTATGCTAATGATGAGATTAATTAAGCTTCTTTCCTGCATTTTAAAGCTGCGTGTGTCGGCTGTTATGACAAATTCACCCATCATCTTAACACAAGATTGCGACATGTACTCCAATGATCCTCGAACACCTCTTCGTGTGTTGTGCTATTTATCGGACCCTGAGATGAAATCGAATTTGGCATTCGTTCAGTTTCCCCAACGATTTCATGGCCTTAACGAGGATGATATTTATGCTTCTGAGTATAAACGCCTCTTCAAGATCAATCCCTCGGGTTTTGATGGGCTGAAAGGTCCCAATTACGTCGGATCAGGGTGCTTCTTCGCTCGACGAGCTTTTTTCGGTGGTCCGTCGACTCCGGTAACACCCGAAATATCGGAACTCAACCCGGATCATGCAGTGAACAAGGCGATTAGATCGGAAGAGATTATGACATTGGCACTCCATGTTGCTGGTTGCAACTATGAGAACCAAACCAAATGGGGCTCTAAGGTAAAAAGTTCATTAGTCAGTTCCCACTATACTATTCTCTTTTAAGGTGATTATTCGATCGAGTCGAGTCAAAAATATTTTGAATTAATCGAATTGACAAATCCTATCCTACTGTCTTTACAAAGCTTAAATTTTTTAAGTATTTAAAGAGATGATTTAATATTGTTTACAGATGGGATTCAGATATGGATCATTGGTTGAGGATTTTTACACAGGCTATAGGCTTCAATGTGAAGGATGGAAGAGCATATTTTGCAACCCTGAAAGGTCTGCATTTCTAGGTGATGTCCCAATCACCCTCGTTGATGTACTTGGCCAATGCAAGAGATGGTGCATTGGATTATTTGAAGTAACATTCTCCAAATACAACACTCTCATCTATGGTTCTCAATCCATGGGAGTTCTGATGAGTCTAGCTTATTCTCACTACGCATTTTGGCCCATCTGGTGCATTCCGGTCATCATCTATTGTTTCCTCCCTTCGTTAGCACTCGTCAACCGAGTTAGCGTCTTCCCGAATGCATTGAACCCGTGGTTTTTCCTCTACGTTTTACTTGTCCTCGGTGCATACGGGCAGGACTTGTTCGATTTCGTCTCGGACGGAGGCACGGTCAGACGGTGGTGGAATGCTCAAAGGTTGTGGATGATAAGGGGACTCACATGCTACTTGTTTGGTTCAATCGAGTACATGTTGAAATCAATCGGGGTTTCACCACATGGGTTTAGCCTAACGAGCAAGGTGCTTGATGATGCACAAAGCAAGAGATATGGGCAAGGGGTTTTCGAGTTTGGGGTCCCATCACCATTGTTTGTGCCCTTAACCATGGCCGCAATAATCAACTTCTTTTCATTCATATTGGGATTGGCTGGTTTTTTGAGAGGCAGCACAATGAAAGGCCTAGGCTTGCAGGTGATTTTGAGTGGTTTCATTGTCTTGAATTGCCTACCAGTGTATGGAGCCATTGCTTTGAGGAATGACGCAGGAAAAATGGCAACAAAAATTATCGTCACTTCAACATTTGCGTCACTCGCTCTTTATTATATCTCTTCGCTCTTTATCATTTAAAACTTGATGTACTTGCTTACCTTCGACAATCAAAGACACCATCCATTATCAGCCATCTATTTGTTTTAGATTCAATTTAGACTTGTCTTATATTTAGGAACCTTTTTAATTAACATAGTATTGAATTGTTAGTCCAGCTCAGTTGGTTAGAGTGCAAGGCTCTTAACCTTGTGATCGTGTGATCGAGTCCCACGGTAAGCAATTCATAATTCTGACTGTCGGAGGTCTCCCACGAAAACTGCTCTCAAGCGTTAGGGGCAGCCTACTATCTTACCTCCCTCTTATCCCATTACATATGGGAATAGGGTCAGCTACTTTTTTTTAATTAATATATAGTCTTATTACTCTCTTAAATATCAGCATCACCAGTTAGGGGTATATATAAAATAAATGGGTATGATTAAGACACCTGTTTCTCCAATATGCCACTGCTTTGACCGATAAATTTCTCACATTTCCTCACAAGAATAGGAACGTTGTTATGGGCAACTTCGTCATTTCATGGATTATAAACAAAGGATTAAGTGCTAATGACAGCTAAATTTAATAGAACATTTGTCGATAATCATCATGTTAAAAGCCAACAACCTTTAGATTAAGTGTTAAACAAACGATTAGATATGTATAGGAGTGGGTTAACTTGGTCTGTATAAATTAAGTTTTTTTATGTAATCTTATTTAAAGTCAAATCGATTAACTTGGCCAAGAGATCTACAGCTCCATTTGCTTCACGTTTGCTGAGATGAAATTCAACACTCCAAGCCTTGGAAGTAAGATGGGCGATATGAAGGACGAGAGAGCAGAGGCTTGACATAGATGGCGACGAGATAAGTTTGTGAATATCGACATTGTCGATTTGGACAGAGATTCTTTCAAAACCATTGTCGATGTGCGCATTCACAAGCTTCACAACACTCTCATGCGAAATCTCCCGAAGCAACATGATTAATCGGATTTCAGCCCTGTCCAGTTATCAAACAAATTCTTCATAACATCAAACAAAATTAACCAGGCTCAATCATAATTAAAAAACCTAATATACTAAATAAGAGAGCAAAACGCAGAGTAAAAAAAGAGAGAGATTATAACCAAATTCACATAGCTAGCTTCTATAAGTTCCGAAATTTGAAATTTCATATAATATTATTACCGAAGCAAACAAACGCCAAAAATACCTTCACACTATCTAAAAGCAAATCGACGAACAGATAAGAAATCTAATACCAATAAGTTCCTAAACAAGTCTCATGAGTTGCATGCCGCTAGTTCGATCAAGATTCTCCCTATTGGAAATCTATTACCAAAAAAAAAGTTCTGATCTTCAATTGTGAATACATTCAAATAAAGCAACAAATTATAGAAGAAAAAGGAATCAGGTTATCGAAATATAAACATCGGCTTGTTACCTTTGAAGTAGGAGAAACTAGGGCGCCTGGAAACCGACAAATTCAAGGAGATAACGCTGAAATCAGAAGAAGATTTCAATTAATTTTTCGCCTGATTTTGCAATTGCTAAACAGGGAAAGATCTTATCGAGGATCAAAGGGTCGCCTACAAGAGTAGAGGAAGTGGGGGATTTTACGTTCCTAGATTATGATGAACTGTATATATGTAATATTTCGGTTTCTGTGGGGTTATTTATGGGAGGTTATGTTGTTTGAAACTAAAAAAAAAACTCGTTTTCGTATAATAATTTCACTCACTGAATTAGTTGATATTCATTTAAATCTGGAATAAAATAATAATTTATTTAAAAAAATATATCTTAAATTAATCTTTGTATAAGCAAAACACGTTATTAGTCTTGCAGAATCAAACGAGTTTGATAGTAAAAAAATTATTACTGTATTTATCTCATATTAATAAAAAAAATAATATATTTGATTGATTAAAATTTATATATAAACAATCTCACATGAAGAAAATTATTCACTCAAATACATGCTTTGATGGTTAATATATTCACAATCTCACATAATAATATTTGACTGATTAAAATTTATATATAAACAATCTCACATGAATAAAATTATTTACTCAAATACATGCTTTGAGCTATGAATAGAAAGGAATGGAAACATCAAGATGAACTTATTCACTCAGATGAACATTCTTCTTTCCAAATTTCAATAGCACATCACAGTCATCCAATAACACAAATAACAATAGTAAGAAGGTTAAGAAAAACATGAGATCTTAAAGCTCCAAAAACAGGAAAGCTCAAGAAAATTACTTGTAATACTATACATGATCTTCCATGATACAGAATGTGCGAGTATATGTCGAAAATACGACCTGCGAAATAATGCCTTCAAATTCTGAATCCCCATTTTTGCGTCCCCTCTTTCTTTGCCGTGCTCTTCGAGTTCGGATCTATGAGATTTTCCAGTGATTTTGCTTTTCGGTTGCGAGACCTGCCTGCTTCTTTCAGGAGCTCAGTCAGCCTGTTCTTCTCATCTTCGAAATCCGGATTTGCAATTCCGAGTTTTTCTTCTCTTAATTTTAGTACATACTCCAATATCTCAATTGCATCTTCAACCCTGATTTTTATACCAGATGATGAGTAATTGAATTCTTGATTTAAACATTATAAAATGTATAGTACCATAAAGGCATATCAAAACCCACACATGAGAGAACTAAAATCGATCATAAGCTTAAGCTCAAGGGTTGACTGGAATTTGTGCATGGTGATTAAAAATATCAGTTACCTTCCCATAGCATCATAAGTTGCTGCAAGATTGCTATATACCCCCAGAGTATCTTGATGACATGGGCCACATTCCTGCTCAAGTATCGTTCTTGCCTCTTCAAACAACTCACCAGCCTCGTCTATCTTGAATAACTGGACACAAGCCAAGCCCATCTGGTTCAACACAACTCCAAAGAAGGCCGACTTCCTCTCCCCGCTTGCTCTGAGCTTCGCCACTGCACTATCGAAATACTTCCTTGCCTCCTCATACCTCCCAAGAATGTAAAGCATCACCCCCATCCGTGCTTCGATTCCTGCAATGATGCTTTGCTGTCCGGGTTTGTCCTCCAACAACTTCATTGCCTTCTGCAAGAGCTTCAATGCCTCCTCAGGCTCATCGACCGATTCATATATGGCTGAAATTTCGGTTAACCCACCAGCTATCTCTTCTGCTGTGGTTCCAGGCAAGGGTTTTGAAAAGATCCTCAAGGCATTTTCGCAATAGGATTTTGATTCCCGGAGCTTTCCAGTCCTGTGGTACAGATCCGCAAGTCGTACAAAGACAAAGGCAACTTGAGGGTGATTGTCACCCTTGGATGATTTGAACACCGTTAGTGCCTTCTGGTAGGAGAAGACGGCCTCATCAAAGCGACACAAAGACATGTAAATATTGCCAATGCTGACATCAATAGCAGCTACTTCATTCCCCTGTCCATTGGCAATCATTGCCATGCTGGCTAGGACAAGGTGCTCAAGGGCCAATTCATAATCTCCCTTAGCCTCGCATACGAGTGCCATCAACCTGCGGTCAGCTGCCTCTTCGAGTGATGCTGGTTCACTGTGGGCATGATGTATTTCCAGGGTCTTCTTACACAATTCTTCAGCTTTATCGAACTGCATTGCTTGAACATGGGCCTCAGCCAAGTACCTATCATTTTCCATTAATCACGAACAAAAACTCAAACTCAAAACAAATTAAAACAAAAACACAATCAACCAAACTACAGAAAATCCGGAAACAGAACGAATCTCACACCAACAATCTCCGCAATGAAAAATAAGTAAATTCAACTACTAGTACTAAACCTTCAATAACATCCATGCTGTTAAAGTTAAAACCCATAACCAATCGATTAATTACAGTGACAATAACCATATAATACTAAGAAGAACCGCGAAAGAAGCAAACAGCTTGCAACTTGCTACATGGTTTAAAGTTCATCAGTTCATCATATATATATGAATTAATATATGTTCGTGTTATTGAATCAATGCCTGTTAAATCTGTCCTATCTTTTAGTCTCCCTCAAAAAGTACATAATCAGGCTTTATCGATTTAACACACACAAAACATCTCAAATATCCTATTAAAACTTGACAATAATAATAAATAATTAAAAAGAGATAGTAAGATAAACCTGCAAGTTTCGCCAACTCTAGCGTCGGTCTCTCCCAAAGCCTGGATCTGAATTTTTAGCCCTTCTTCATAGCACCCAATTGACTTCTCCACTTGCCCCAGCATCGAATACGTATCCCCCAGCTGCATATGTCCCGAAAAGACGGCCAACGCGTGATCCGGGCCCCTTTTCACGTCGGGCACTTGAATCGCCCGCTCCAGAACCGGAACCGCTTCATCGAACCTCCCCAAGCTGCAATAAATCGCCGCCAGCACGTGCAAACTCATCGCCAGATCCAAACTTGGCTCACCTTCCACGGCGCATCTCTCGAACGACTTCACCGCTCGAATTGCATAGTCCAAAGCTTTAGTGGGACCCTCACCGGAAGCGATGGTATCACGGGCCAATTTGAGCAAAAAGGGCCCGAGATCCGGGTTATCGAGCGAGGAATCGTCCGGGTTGGGTGAGTCGGGCGGAGGTTTCTTGGCGGAGCGAGCAGGTGATGACTTGGATCGGGAAGGGGAATGCGACGGAAGCTTTTTGTTCGGCGTCCGAGGTGGATTCTGAGACGGCGGCTCCGACACCGTAATCCGTAGCGGAGGAGCGTCGGGTGGAGATTTGAGACCCGGCATTACTGGATCAAGAAAAAAAATACTTAAATTGGAAATGCAATTTTCTTAAAGAAAATTTTGATTTGGGGGATGGAAGAACACTGGGATGATTTGATAAAGGAGAGAAATGAATTAAAATTTAAAAATATTATACTCCTTTGTGCAATTTCGCCATTATACTCGAGTAAGGTTAATATCTATTTACATTAAATAGTTCTGCTCGATCGAAGTTTAAAAGTTTTATATTCTCTTTATTATTTTATATACAAGAGGCATTAATGATTATTTTCAAATAGTTAGAGTATTTAAATAGATATTATTTTGTAATTATATAATATTTAAAATTTGTCAAAAAAATTAAATTTATAATTTGTAAAATTTATAATATATTTT